GTATACATAGGTATATTTAAACTTGAAATTTAACTGACTTATTAAAGAAACACCAATGATATTTTTTTATTTTTAAAGGCATATTTACAATCTACTCATAAACAGTACAGTTAGTAATTAGTAAATGTGATGACAATATTGACTTGATTTGAGTAGCGTCCAGCGACATTTCTCCAATTTCACCTATGTAACCAGGTATTCTGACCAAGTCCCCTTCAGTCTTCGTTCCTCCATTAGTAGCTGATATAATTCACTGATAATTTTACTAAGTTGGGTTGAATTGTGAATTTTGGCATTGTTGGCTTAAAGTGATATGACATCTTTTACGATTGGTTCTCCTAGGTCATTGTTAATGATTGCATTGCTCACATACCAATGGTTGTTAGCTATCATAAGCAGTGTTTTTGATTAAAAAGTCTGCAAAATGTTTGTGTTTGAAGACTTGCTACAGCCTCAGAGTTCTACGCTGTAAGTCCATATTGGTTTCAGTAAGACTTTGTAAAGCAATATCTTGTTCTCCAATAATAGTTGTGACTTTCTGTTTAGTAAACAATTTATTTGGTTTAGCTAAAGAGACCCTGGGTCTACAAAAAAGCTTTAATCAACTGAATTACAGTGGTTTGATGAAGAGTGTCGTTACATAACAAAGAGGGAAAATAATGCATATCAACGACTACAACAACGACATAGAAGAGGAAAGGCAGAGAAGGAATATAGAGTGCTAGGGAGGGAAGAGAAGAACTTACATCGTAGAAAGAAAAGAGAACACATAAAAAAAGACCACCAAGACGTGGAAGAACTAAATAAACCATCAGAAACCAGAAAATGCAACCAAAAACTTAACAAAAGCAGAAAAGAATTTAAACCAAGAACAATGATGTGCAGAGACAATGAAGGAGATATAGTAACTCAACAGAGTGAAATACTATAAAGATGGACAGAATTCTTCAAAGAAAAGTTTGAAAAAAACGAAAACCCCCATATGATGGAATTATACTGGATTAAACGCCTAAACGGATACCAGAGAAGCAACCTTCCTTAAGGAGCTGAAATGCAAGAAGCATATACCTGACCGAAGAACAACAAGTCACCTGGATTAGACAACATTAGCGCAGAGGTAATAAAGGAAAGTGAAGACTCCCTATTGAATTGAACACGATACACGAACTAATAATGAACATATCTAATAAAAAAACGGGTGTGGCAGTCCAGTGGGACTGCCGGTAGAAGTTATACTTCTATATAGGCGTTCGCCGTTACAAATTTATATGAGAGTCAATCTGCACAATCATTACATATTTAATACTATAGGAAAGCAGCACAATACCTTTCGTAGAGTTATAGAACATTATTGCTTTAGGTTTACTTTCGTCACCCGTTGTCGGATCGATTTGGTCATCGTGGTTGACAAAATGACAACATGTGTTTTGGTTTTGGTATACAGGACAATATTGTCATATCTTTAGTAAATTAAAACATAGTTGATTTTGGCGGTCTATTGTTCATTAAAAATTCGGTTGGGATGTGCCTTCTGTTTTTCCGTAGGTTGTCTACAATTGTTGGACTATGATTTGTCAGTAAGTTTTGTGCGAGTTCAATTGGTGTAAACCAATTGTCCATTGTAACATTCCGGTTGGATCTGGAGATTGGTTTGCAAAGCCTCTCAACCACATCGTTGACTGCAGAACTGATAGAATATGGACCTGGTGAAAATACCTTCAGACCATATCGGGCCGGTTTTTTGGAAGGTACATTCTAAAACTACAGCTACCTCTAAAGCCTAAAAGCATTTCATCGATAGTGAGATATTGGCCAATGGTATAATATTTTTGAAAATTTTTAACTACATCCTCGAATACGACTCTAACTGATGCAAGTTTGTCTACTTGTGTCCGTTCGTCCCTTGTACGAATATCATCTAGGCGTAAGCACTTCATAAGAAATCGAAATCTGCGGAGAGCCATCGTTGCCGGAAATATGTCAATGCCAGTACCATTTCTTTCCCAAAACTCAAAAATTGAAATTCTACCTCCACGGTAAACTCCAGATAAGTAAAGCAGACCAATCAGAGTTTTTAGTTCACATATATTTGTTAGCCTCGCATCGGAACTGTTTTTATATCTCACGGACACACGCTCGATATGTTTATACATTAGTACATTCAACAATATGTTTTATAATTTTGTCATTAAAAAACAATTCCCAGCATTCTTTTTCAGTTTTGCAACTTTTCGCTTCACGAATAACTACAAAAAGTTTTTTTATGATATTTTCTCGTCTAGTTCTAACATTTCGTGATCCGCATATCTTATTCCATTTCATTCCATCTTTGGTATTGTAATGAAGGTGTTGGTTTGACTTACCTTGTGGAATACATTCTTGTACGTTTAATTCGGTGTCTGATAAATCCAATTCAGACTCTGAGTTATGATTAGCATCTTCATGTTCTAAGTTGCCAACTATAGACTCATCGGGATGTGAATCTTCATAATTTTCTTCCTAGTCGGTTGCAACTTTCTCGTAGAGACGTTGCAAATGTTTTGCCTCTCTCTCTCATAAGAATACATTGTTTTGCTAAGCTCTAAAAATAATACACTGCAAATTTTGTTTTGTACTTTCATAAAAAAAACTTACATTAAGAAACGGGTTGGGTCTGAGAGAACGAAAACACATATATCATCAACACTGTTGCTTCAATGCGCATTCGTAACTGAGGGATTATAGCTAACTATGAAGACGAAAGGTACCTAGACCGCCAGGACCGTACTTAGACTCGCTGACCGAATAGGTATATTAAAGGAACTGAGTGGGCCTGACAGACCCAACCCGTGCATCGCAGGGTTAATGCAATTTCGTGAATTTCGCAGATTTGCTACTCTACCATACATGGGACGATATCTCATGTACGCATAATAGTTGTGTACATGAATATCTCGGCACCAACAAATAATATTAAATGGTTCGTACTGTTATTAGCCTAGGGGATAGTTTCTTAGGGTTAAAATGATTGCAACCAGAAAAATGTTTCATCAGAAATGAATAAATTTTTATTGATTTAAATCCATAAATTTAGAATTTTAATTTATACAATAGTATTATTAACGTTGTCGTCGTCTTCAGGGGTTAAAGAGTTTATCTTTAAATTTAAAGAAATATCGTTTCATAATATTGTTCTGAAGCTATTTTCTTGTGGCATTTTAAATTAATTACTATTTACCTGGGAAGAAGCCACATTTAAAATTTAAAATACGTTTATTGACGTTTCAATTTGCACTTCGGAAATCGTTCTCAAAATACAAACAGTAAATTAAACAAATTTTGTTTTTTATTACTTAGTGAAAAATTCTTCTAATTTAATTTTATTTGACTCATTTATATTGACAATTCAGATATACATTATACATTTTAAAGTAGACGACTTTAAAATGATATTGCCAATATAGTTGAGTTGCGCTCCTGTAACGATTTTACTTATAGTAAAATCAAGATAGTTCATTCCATGATACTATAATAACAAGATAGGATCTTCCCGTAGCACAAAATAGGTCGTGTTCGCGCTTGCCGTCATTGGAGAGTAGAATTTGAATTCTTCTTAAAGTTAAATGGGATTTGTATGCATTCTGTGATGAAATTACTAAACGAAAATAAGTTAAGTGGTTTAGTAATTACAATAATCGTACACATAAGAATATCTCCAAACTATTTATTAAAGATTATTTATTGATACATACAAAAAACTGACATTTCGAACGTCAAACTCTCCAATGACGTCACGACTTATGCGCAATATCTTATCTTGTTAGTCTTAGTATCATGGTTCATTCGATTACATGAAATCAACTTTAACTTGAGAATATCCGTCAGAAAAAATCATAGCATGTAATTCGTCTTTCAAAAGACAAACCCATGCCATGATGACAGTAAAATTCTCCTGCTAGTGATTCCATAGTACATTATGAGGGAAAACTAGGAAAAAACCTCATAATACTATCCCGACATGGTAAGTAGTTGGTCGTGCATTTAGTTTACCTTCAATAAACACCAAACTCTGATTTTATATGTTTGTTAGTCAAAAAACATAAATGATGTATCCTCTATATGTTACTGACTTACTAATACTGGTATTTTCTTATTAATAACTTCCTCTTTCAATATGGGTAACCAGATCCTACTACATTCTGCCGAGGAATTTGCGACACAATTTGTCTCATTTAGCATAATTAGAGCCGCTTCTTTGATTTTTCTTTTTTTACCATCCGTTTCTTTTAGGACTACATTTGAATTTGATTACGCATGGGATAATGAACATAGGGTTCAATGGAATAATTCAAATGTAGTCCTAAAAGAAACGGATGGTAAAAAAAGAAAAATCAAAGAAGCGGCTCTAATTATGCTAAATGAGATCAATTGTGTCGCAAATTCTTCAGCAGAATGTAGTATTGGGCAGAATTAGCAGAATTGGGAGGTAAGGTCCTATTTTCTGCCTATGTTACTGAACTATAATATATTAAGGTTTTGTTTTTTTTTTTCAAAGTTAATTTAAATCATCAAAAGAGATTTACTTAAAATATGGTTAAAACTTTAATCAAAATACATTTTAACCAAATAATGTAGTTTTATTACTAATAATGAATACTAACTTTTTTTGAATTGATTATAATTTTTCTCTGTAAAATAAAGTACAAATGTGATCAAAAATTTGTTAATCTGAAAAATTTATTCCACACACTTAAATTCGAGGTTTACTAACCACTCAATCGTAACAAATATTGTTAATGAAAAAAAAACAAATATCTCCTAACAAAGGACTCATAATATCGCAATAATGTGCGAGACAAGAACGAAGTCTTGCGCAAAGAGAGAAAAACAAGGTGTTCAAAAATTAGTATAAAAGTTAAAGATGGTTTATTTCTGAATTATAGATCCACAAGTTGTTCGACAACACAACGGTAATAAATATTTGTACATTTTTTAGAAAATATTTTAATTAAACGCACATTATGTTTAAATTGCTGATAATTTGTATTGTTGTGACAATTGCATACGCTAAACCAGGTGGTTTGGGTTACGGAGGATATGGTGGGTATGGTGGGTATGGCGGATACGGAGGATATGGAGGATATGGAGGATACGGCCAATATGGATTAGCTCCAGCAACTAGTTATAGGTAAATTTTATGTAAATAAATATTTAGTAAAGATTCTGTATTCTATAAACTATGTCCTTAAATTTTTATACTAATTGTATTGATTTATTATTTTAATATGGCAAATAACTTTTAACAATGTGGCAAATATTTCATTTGTTACGCTTTTAGTTTTTTTTTAATCTTTTGGTTTCATATATTCGTTTTTTTTGTATTCGTAAGTTCCGTACTTTCCAATTACTTTGTAGTAATGATTTAGATTATTTAGTTTACTCTAGGCCATTTCGTATTTTATCTTACGATGTTACAATTTAATCGTTATTTGCTTTATAATTAGTTCTAAAATTAAAAAAAAAATAGAACTCTATTTAATAATTTATAACTTTAAATGATATCAAAAGCCTTAATTAACCATAGGATGTTGGAAATTAAATGCACATAAATACTGCCCTTAATAAAAAATCCTAATCCTAAGTAAGAAAAACTAAAATTGATCCTTATATTAAAAAGTCAAAGATGAAAATTTCTCTTTCAATAATGGTTGTCAAATAGTGTGTCACTATTTGTAATATATATTAAATTTTCACAACCACCAAAGTTCTCACTAGCCTACAAAATCGACAGACATTTGTTTATTTATTGTGTTACTTCTACACTTTTTTATATTTGATTAATAATGATGTATATTTATACTGACTATATTTATGTTGCAAAAGTGGATACCAGTATTAGAAAAGTAATTTGGATTGTGAGTTGTTTGTCTATTTTGCCCACAGTTAGTTATTGATTCATAATCAATATAGCTGTCCATAATAATTTTATTATATTGTTTCATTACTTATTGTGAAAAAGCTATTTACCTGGAAGCTTTCCTACAATCCGTGTACTGTGTTTGATAACAAAATATTATTAACATTGGTAAATTGTTTTAGCTCCCGTGTCGACTACCATTCACCTGCCATCAAAACCTACGTAGCACCTGCAGTGAGCTACCACGGTGCTCCCCTATTACCTTCTTACGAACTTAGTCACGGATATGGTGCAGGTCTGGGGTACGGTTATGGCTTAGGACACGGTCACGGTCTAGGACAAGGTTACGGAGGCTACGGCAATGGATATTCTTTGGGAGGCTACGGTCATGGCTGGTAGTTGACATAACTTATATCCAAAAGGGCTGTATACAAGTTATTTATGTGTTCATTTGTATATTTTTAAAAGGGAAGAAATAAATTATTTGTATTTTTAATTTTTATTTTATTATAAAACACAATTTGTGTGAAATATAAACTGAAAAAGCATAATATACTCTATAATAACCGTGACTCTTTTCCTAGTTGGAAAATGGAAAAATACATGACAATCTACTAGTTTTGTATATCAACGGAAAAAGCACAAACTGTATAACATGTGCTTTCATCATCATCAATGGCGTTACAACTTTTCGTAAGTCTTGGTTGCGTTTACTATTATTGTCTTTCATTACAGTCAGCCCTGTGCCACTTTTTTTTCGCCGTCTTACTCCCATTTTCTCAAGATCCTCTATAACTACATTATTATACTTCTCCAATTTGGTCTTTTCCAAAACACATTGTTTATAAGGCGATTGGAATTACTATATACCTCATGTCCTGCTATTTTAGTCTAGTACACTTTATATGTCCTACAACAAAAAGTAGAAATCTGAAGATTTAACTTATTCGAAACCAAAATTCAGATTCTTACTACAGTCTGTGTCTTCCATAATTTTCAAAGTACACAGATAATGAATAAACCTTTCATGAACTGACTTCTAATTCTCAAAATACAAGTAAATAAATATATAGAAAAAACAGGTAAGATTTGATTTCACGTATACTGCCTCTAAAGGTGATAAAGTTTAAAATGTAGGCTCGGAAGACATCCCAGATATCGCAACAGAGGAAATAAAATCAGCTCTCTCGGAGATGAAAAGCAATAAATCACCTGGAGAAGATGGGATAGTCATTGAACAAATCAAAGAAGGAGGAGTGACGTTACTAAATGTGTTAAAAAAGATGTTCAATGCTTGTTTGACAAGAGGCGTAACCCCCTCCCAGTGGCATAATGCAATAATAACCATAATGCACAAAAAGGTGACATTTCAAACCTAAAGAACTACAGACCGATTAGTGTGCTCTCCCATACATACAAACTGTTCATGAAGATAACAAAACGACTTGTGAACAAACTGGATAGTTACCAACCTTGTGAACAGGCTGGGTTCCGCTCCAGATACGGAACAAATGATCATCTACAAGTTATAAAAACGCTAATAGAAAAGTGTACAGAGTATAACAAGCCTATCTTCTTTATATTCGTAGATTATGAAAAGGCGTTCGATACTATGGATCATCATAAAATGCTTCGAGCATTGGCTGACTGCGGCATTGACTACCGATATATCGCCTTAATTAAAAGTATTTACGAAACTGGTACAGCTTATGTCCGCCTTCATGAAGATACCAAGAAGTTTAGAATAGAACGTGGAATTAGACAGGGTGACACTATATCCCCTAAATTGTTTACAGCTGTTCTTGAATATATGTTCAAGCAAATGGAACGAGAGCATAATATGGGAATTAATATAAATGGGGAAGATCTAAACAAGCTAAGATCTGCCGATGACATTGTTTTAATATCTGATAGAGTTGATAAAGCTACAAAAATGCTGCACACGCACTATAAAGTGTCAAAAACAATTGGTCTTAAAATTAAAACACCTCAAAGACAAAATCTATGACCAACCTTGTAGTCAGCGGTAAAATTCTGATTGAGAGCCATAGCATCGACCAAGTAATAGCTTACAAATATCTAGGCCATGAGATTGGCTTAGGCCGAGATAATCAGATAACTGAGATACAAAGAAGAATATGCCTCACATGGGCTGCCTTTGGTAGATTGAATAACATTTTTAAGTCTAGTATCCCAGTTTGTTTTAAAAGAAAGGTTTTTAACCAGTTCGTTTTACCGGTTCTTACATATGGTGCAGAAACACTGACTCTGACAAAAAGAACAATAGATAAAATAAGAGTTACACAACGCGTTATGGAAAGATCAATATTAGGTATTACAATCAGAGATAAAGTGCCAAACCTAGAAATAAGAAGAAGAACAAGAGTCACAGATGCAGTTGAAAAAATAGCCATGGCTAAATGGGCTTGGGCTGGACATGTTGCCAGATTAACGGATGAAAGATAGACCAGAAAGATTCTGGAATGGCGACCAAGGCAAGATGCATATCGAAGCAGAGGACGACCACTGACTAGATAGACGGATGATATCAAGCGCATCACCACAAACTGGAAGCAACAAGCTCAAGATATAAATAGATGGAAAATTTTACAGGAGGCCTACGTTCAGCAGTGGACAAATATATGCTAATTGATGATGATGCTGCTGCCTCTACAAGACGCTTATATCGTCTTTTGCAGGTCTCATCGGAGCTACTTAGTAGAAAGCCTTGAAAATTAAATATTTTTTGTCAAAGGAAGTAATAATGTAATAACTTCCTAAAGAGGCATCCGTGAATAAAACAAAAAGTAAATATCCGAAGATTTCTACTTGTTTGAAACCAAAATTCAGATTCTTACTTTAATATGTGCCTTCTACAATTTTCAAAGCAAGCAGAGGATGAATGAGGATTTTAAAATTGCATTCCACATCACATCACATCACATTGAAGAGAGGTATTAGGATGCTTGATCTCCATTTTTGGAGAAATCTGATTTGTTCTATTATTTTTGGATTAGTTTTATTAGTTGTTTGGTCAGATCTGGTCCTCCGTACTTTAGAAGTTATGTATTCAGTCCACTACTGCTGATTTTTTTTAATTTCCTTAATGCTTTCTCTATCCCTTCCGAACACTGTACTTATTTATCTTAATCTGAAAATTTTTCAGCGTATCTACCTTACTGCTCAAGCATTATACATTATTTTGCGATAAACTACATGTGTATATCTATATTTTCTCGAGCTTTGTCTTAGACATCGGTCTAAAAATAAATGAAGACAAAACAAAATACATGGACGTCTTAAAAGAAGAACGACGGCGAATAAGGCAAAACATTACTATAAATGATCACAACTTCGAAGTGGTTAAAGAATTTAAATATCTAGGAGCAGCAATCACAAATGACAACAAATTAGAGCGAGAAGTTGAAACGAGAATAATGGCAGTAAACAGATCTTTCTTTGCAATGCAACATCTCATGAAGTCAAAACTTCTTTCACGAGGTACAAAAATCCGGATATATAAGACCATCATACGACCAGCAGTCGCGTATGGAAGCGAACCATGGACGCTAACAAAAAGAGAAGTAAATAAATTGCTGGTGTGGGAACGTACAATTCTTCGAATGATATATGGCCCTTGCAGAGACAGCGTGACAAACGAATGGAGGGGCAAATACAATAACGAGCTAGAGTCTTTATTCGGAAAATAAAATCTAGTCAGATATATAAAGGCAAACAGACTCAGATGGGTAGGGCATGTGATACGCAGTAACGACAATCGCCTTATAAACAATGTGTTTTGGGAAAGGCCAGATGGAAGGTCTGTAGGGCGGCCTAGAAAAAGGTAAAAAAATGCAGTCAAAGAAGATCTAGAGAAAATGGGAGTGCGACAATGGAAATAACTGGCACAGGACCGACAAACATGGAAGGCAATAGTAAACGCGGCAAAGACTCACGAAGAGTTGTAGCGCCATTGATGATGATGGTACATCTGTATATCAGCGTATTCCTCATTGGAATGGCACAAAGTAAAAACTAAAAGAGAAACTTTACAAACTACAACAATTTGACAATGAAAAACATAGGTTATACTTCTGTTGACATTTTAAAGGCAACTAATGCAAAAAATATTAATTTAACTTTCATGAAAGAAAAAAAACAAAACATTTTCAAATCGATTTTTTTTTTTTGAAAAGGGTGTATCCTATCGACTTAAAATAACAGTATCTTTTAGTACTAAGATATATATATATATATATATAGCGAGTGTTTGCAACTTTAATTTTGTCGCTTCTCGCATCCCAATCGCCATAATTTCTTATCGGCCCAGTCTCCTTCTTGAAGACCTCTATTTTCCATTTCTATATGAATATTGGATATCCATTTCTTTCTTGGCCTTCCCCGTTTATTTCTCTGTGTAGGTCTCCAGTTCCAAACCTTTCGTGGTATCCTTTCTTCGTTCATCCGTCTCAGGTGTCCATACCATTTTAATTGTTTTTCGGCTATCGTATCCATTATTGTGTTCTTTACTTTCATTCTCTCTCTTATGTTTTCATTTCTTATGTGGTCAAACAAAGTTAACCCGGAACATCTTCTCCAGTACATCATTTCCGTTGAGAGGAGTTTTTGTGACATATTATTGTTAAAGACCCACACTTCTGACCCATACGTCAGCACCGGCTGAATCATAGCCTGATATATATTTTTCTTTGTTTTCTTAGTTAAAGTTTTATTCCACAGGATCGGATGTAGTGTTTTTATCATGTTTTTTCCTTTTCCTATTTTTCTTGTTATATCTTTGTCGTCTCTCCCGTCTTCGCTTAGTGTAACTCCGAGATATTCGTACTGATCAACGTTTTTAATTAATCCGCTTTCTGTTTCCATATCTTGGCCGATGCCTCCTATATTCATGTATTGTGTCTTTTCGGTATTAACCTCTAATCCCCATTTTCTGAATTCGTCTATTAGTTTGTTTATCATGTACGTCATATCTTGTAGGTCCTCGGCAAGAACTACCTGGTCGTCTGCGAAGAGGATTGTGTATATAGGAGTGTCATTTACCCATATGCCCATTGGGCTGCATTTTCTTATCCGATGTTTTAAAGCATTACCAAGATATATTTTAAATAGGGTTGGGGAGAGGCAAGAGCCCTGTTTGACACCCTTTGTTTGGGTGAAACCCTTGGAAATTTGGTTTCCAACCTTAATATAAGCTTGGTTATCTTGATATAGCTTTTTCACGGCATTTATATATACTGCATTTATACCAGCGTTTTCCAATATTGTCCATAGTCTCTGCAGTGGTACGGAGTCAAACGCTTTACGGAGATCTATAAAAGTGGCATGAAGTTCTAGTCCTCTTGCTAATCTCTTTTCCGTTAGGTGTTTGAGAGTAAATA